GTGGGTTTAGGGGGGCAGGGTTTAGGGCTTTAGGGTTTAGGGGTCAGGGTTTAGGGTTTAGGGTTTTAGTGTTTACGGTTGTAGGGTTTGGCTCGACAGGGCGATCAACAGAAACGAGGATGAATCATCTGTAGGCACACACGGTTACCAAACCACAAGCCAGCACAAACACTCGCAGGCATCTGTGTGAGTATAGATGTTAAAGTATGTGTATATATATGTATGTATACGCATGTACTAAATATTGTAGTTAGTCTTTTTGCATTGTTACTATCAACAGGCACTGACAAACTGACCGACAGGCATGGCCGCAAACAGGAGGGCTACGTGAACACATCAACGTGCGTGACTGTTACACAACTGTATCGTTTGCACACCCCCCTTGCATGCATGCAGGCGAAAAACGGTAGACGTATAGACGTACTGCGTCTGTGCTTATGTATACTACGCTTTCTGCATCTTCTGCACGCAATGATCTAGATGCCATGTATGGTCTGTGTAAGTGCTGAAAGTTGTGCATGCTACGCATGCGCAGTTGACAGCTTCATGTCAGTCGCGAATACTTATGTAGATGAATATGGGCATGTTCATCTACAAGTGTGGGCATACTTGCATCCTTGACGCCTGCGACGACGATCATGATAGCAGTAGCATGCGGACGACGACTAAGGCGATGACATTGGCAATGCTACCAGGCTATTGAGAATTCTTTTAGTAATGATGATGTTGATGATGATGATGATGGATGATGATGATGACGACGACGGCGGTTGTAATCATTGCATATCTACGGTGGCGGTAACGTAATGCTTCGATTGGTGCTTCTGCTGTTGATGACGAACGTCATAAGTCGTTGCAATAGTAGTGTCTGTGGCGATGGCATCATCACCTGAAACGGCTTGATAGACCTGCGCTCGAGAAGCAGATCAGATGTTGCTACCTTCCTCCCAGCATCCCAAGCTGCATCAAGTCCCAGCCGCTCCCCCACGAAGTGCTGGACCACCTCGAAGGCGTAGGAGTGGCCAAGCCAGCGCAAGGCCTTCCTCATGGACAGGCTGTGTATGACCAAGTATCACCATACTGTACAGTGGTACTTATGACCAGCAGTAAAACGTACATTATTTGCACACTCATTGCACTAAGTTCTTTGCTTTTGCGTACTCGCCGTATGAACTGTTAGGAATCGTAGCTTCGTCGTCGTAGTGATCGTCTTCGTCGCCGAGTCTAAGTCCATTCTGCCCGGGGGCTCGATGTCAGTTGGAACGAAGGAGGTCGTCTGCTGGCACTAAGATGTAGTTCAACTAAAGAACTACTACACTGCTACACGATTGGGGCTGACTTGCGAGGCATCTGCCGAGGATCTGAATCGCTGGGCAGGCAATCTCCTCGCACTTGCCAGACCTTGCAAACCAAGACCCTGCCAACAAGGCAGCACGAAAGACTGCCAGCTGTGAATCAGAAGACAACAACACAAATACGCAGGTTAACGTTGCAGACTGCTGCAGCATAGTCCCTGTCACAGCAAGCTTCTGACCTCAATGCAACAGCCCCATAAGAAGCAAGACCCTCAATCCCAAACCCTAAACCCTGTATCCCGCCCAACGGCTCGATGCGAGAATTTTAACATGTATAAGTCTGAAGTTCAGGACAACAATCCAAGCTCGGACAGTGTTGTTATGGGCATGTCGTGCGAACATATGATGAGCAATGAATTCGGGTAACAGTCTGAGAAGAAATGAGGAAATAATGGAAATCCGACTGCAGTCCAGCCACGGGAGCATGTTCTAGCTCTTCCTCACGGTTATGGTTCGAATCTATTGTTGCAGTCTCAGATGTCATCAGGCTCAGCGGCGTTTGCATTTGAAACGCTTCCTTCAGCTCGCGCATCTCTGCGTCGGTGAAGCCTTCTCGAGCTCGGAGCTTGCAAAGCCTGCAGTGCGGAGCGATGGCAAGAGAAGATCTCTTTCAGGGTGCCTTCGGCCCTTTGCCTAGACTATAACATACTATAACAACTATACTAGACCTATAGCCATACTACTACAATTATTATATACTATACTGTACTCTACAGCAGCGATCTAGCTCCTGCATCTGCCATGCTGAGCAGCACATTGCTGAGCTCGTCAGCCCCCAGATCCAATGGCAGGTCTTCGGTGATCTCCATCGGAGGTCTCAGAGTTGTGCGGTGCGGATTCTTGGGCGTAGGGTAACCCGATCTCACTTAACCATATTATGTCACACCAGATTATATTATCATGTTATGCTATGGTCATACCATACTCAGTTATATGTAGCCTCTTGTATGTCATGTCATATCATTTTCTTTTCTCCGATACTATACAACTTTATGCCATATCATACTCTATTGTATTATACTATACTATACTATACTATACTATACTATACTATACTATACGATACTATACCATACTATACTATACTATAGTATACTACA